TTAATAGCATAAAGCAGTAATTGTGCTTCATAATGGAAAGTGTGTAATACCTGATCGGCTGATGTATCCAGCAATGACCCTTCAGAGTAGAAAGGCTCTTTAGTGATACCACTATGTAGAAGGTTAATTCCCTAAAACGTCAGCCTCTTAGATTTGATCTTTTATCTTTGCAGCTCGATGCCAATCTTGTGCTTGATGCAGCCCCCCCTCCACGCCTTTCAGTCATAGAGATTACTTGACCATGCTTTAGCAATGGGTTCGTAAATAACTTCATAGATTATTTTAAAGTAAGTTGGAATTCATAATGCAGCTGTATAATGAAAAAAGTATACACAACTTGTGTAAATCCAGCTTGAACCTAGCATGTGATCAACAGGGGCATTGTTCGACTTTAAAAAAATAATCCAGGTGTATCCTTCGCTGGCTAATTCTACAATTGTGCTGATGCAGTTGCCCACTAATCGGAGCTAAAGCACCAATGTAGTCTGTTCCTCGTAGCCCCCACTTTCCAGTCACATGGAACATTTACTTAGAGTCACAACTCCTCTTTGCAAATCCACTACTGGATGAATGCCTTCCCCATGCTTTTTCGGTCAAGGGAGTTTGACCATATTTCACCACGTTGGGCAGTACGTGATGGTGAAGGGAGTGCCCACAAATGGCTCATTATCACTTGCCTCTGGTGTGAGCCATGGCCAGGAATTTAACTTATGTCCCTGTAATGATTGCATAATGCACGAACCGCAACCGCTTCCCTCCAAAAACGGCAGATCCGGCATCAAGACAGCGTCTCTCTGATAGGATTTGGCTGTTTAAAGGGTCTTAAAAAAGGGTGAATGAAGACGTTTTCTACATATTATTTGGTCAGTCATAGGTTCAAGGATGAGGTGCTTGAGTCTGGATTTTGACTGGGAAAAGGTCTGTGCAGTGAAGACGTGTGGAAATCTACACCCATGGTTTGATTTCAGCCTAGATCTGTGACCCAGAAAATATTTCCTCATCTGACACCCCACATCCAATATACCTCCCACTGGCTGTGGCTAATAGCCTCGTGACTACCCCAGTCTAACAGCAACCCAGAAAATATTAGAGATGCATTGAGCCCTGTCTACTACACCTCTTTGATCAAGTGTCTCCACCATCCTCCAAGTCATGCTTCGCACTAAACCTTCACCATGCACCCCCACTGTCCAGCTCCTCCTGCACTTCACCTGTTCATGGTGCCTTGGATTTTTCAAAAGATTCAAGGCAAAGACCTTTGCCTAATAAACCCATGATAGAAATGTTTTATTAGGTTCCAGGATTTACGAAGAAAGCCACACTTTTACGTTTGAACTCTGTTAACCATTGATGGGTAAATGATCCATTACAAGGAGCAGAAAATAATTAACTGATGAGTGATCACTTTAGGAATGACTGCTGACTGGGATTAAGGTCATCCTGGGTCTTAAGCCAGGGGCATTACCCCTCCACACGTGATCAGAGTTGGTGGCCAACAGCTCGGCCATTAGATTTTTGTTGGCATCTTCCAATTAGCGTCGCATGGCATGAAAGACACGAGAGTGGGTTGTGGGGAGCGGTGGCGTAGTGGTTGGTGACTCAACCGCAAGGATAGCCAGAGGGGAATTTTTGTCTTGGTGTGGGGAGTAGTGGCACAGTAGTTAGCACACTGACATATGAGCCCAGCGCCCTGAATTTAAATCCCGGCTAAGGCTAACATTGGTGGCGAGTAATATCAGAACTGGTCTTGGGTCCTCCTCGAGGTTGACACGGATTTAAATGAGTCGCTGGTGCTGTGTGTAAAACATCAGCACTGTGAAACAAAAGTGGCTGGGCATTGTGCTGGCTACACCCCACATCTTTGTGTGCCATTCCAGCCTTAATAGGTGCTTGCTAACAATACTTGCCCCAACAGTGTATGCTTTTGTCTCTCTCCTCCCTAGCCAACAAGTTGGTGTTTTTTTGAGCGGTTTGGCATGAAATAAAGACAATTATTAACAAATCTCTCTCCGCTTATTACATTTATTTTCACGTCTTTATTTGTAATGAGTTGTCTAATCAGCAATTATCAGCTGTAAGCTCCGGGCAATTTACACAGGTAGTCACCCATAGGCTTGCCAGTCAGTGTGAGAAGAGATAACTTCATTGACGTTGCAGCCCGAGGCATGAATAATGTACAGCCGCAGCCCTTTGTTGTGTTGTCAAGAAAATGTCACAAGCTCCTGTCAGTCGGTGACCTTTGGGGTCAACCACTGTTTTTTTCAGTGACGGGGGGGGGGGGGGATTTTTTTTTCATATTTGGCAAGTTTTTCTCGGCTCAGTCACTGGCGGTTGTTGTAGAGTTATACTCTTTGGTTCTTTCAGGAAAGTCACGTGGGTAGAAAAATAAAATATTATATCACGACGTTTCGATCGCAACACAAGCGGTCGTCCTCAGGCGGAAAAAAAAATAATCCAGCAGTGGAACTGCTGACAGCGAGAGAGCTGTTACAGCAAGAGGTTATTTACGTGGCGAAGGGCAAGCAAGCGGGGTCTGAGCTGGAAAGGAATTCCATCCCCGGATGCAAGCACGTCAGTTGTGTTAATGGGGGAGATTAGGGAGAGAGAGATTAGCATGAAATGAGCTTCCGTCGCCGCATAAGAGTATCATCCCCGCATATGCGCACAACAGCAGTGTTAATGGGAGATTAGCACTATGTTGATGGGAGAGATTAGGCAGAGAGATTAGGGGGATTAGTAAGTTAATGTCATGTCTATGTGTAACACAAGCTGCGGCGCTGCCACCTGCGCTGTGAGGCAAGCACGTCCACGCAAGAGAACCACCGCAACAGTGGTCTAGCCAGTGAGACACAAAGCCCATCACACAGCCAGAACCATCGATACATCTAGGCCAAGGGAACAGAGGTGGCCATGTTAGTGAGACCCCAGCCCGTTAATGCAGAGGCACCTAACAGGGCAATGCAACTCAGAGAGTCGGGATAACAGCCAAACGGCAGGAAGGATGGAAGCACTGCACCTCTGCTCCCTTAGCCTCGATGTATCGATGGTTCTGGCTGTGTGATGGGCTGTGTGTCTCACTGGCTAGACCACTGTTGCGGTGGTTCCCTTGCGTGGACGTGCTTGCCTCTCACAGCGCAGGTGGCAGCGCCGCAGCTTGTGTTACACAAAGACATGACATTAACCTGCTAATCCCCCTAATCTCTCTGTCTAATCTCTCCCATCAACATAGTGCTAATCTCCCGTTAACACTGCTGCTGTGCGCATATGCAGGGGCGATACTCTTATACGGCGACGGATGCTCATTTCATGCTTATCTCTCTCCCAAATCTCCCCCATTAACACAACTGACGTGCTTGCGGGATGGAATTCCTTAACAGCTCAGACCCCGCCTGCTTGTCCTTCACCACATATATAACCTCTTGTTGTAACGGCTCTCGCGCTGGTTCAGCAGTTCCACTGCTAGATTATTTTTTACCGCCTGAGGACGACCGCTTGTGTTGCGATCGAAACGTCGTGATATATATTTTTTCTACGTATGTGACTTTACCGAAATAACCAAAGAGTATGGATTCCTGCAGTCACAAATGCTTCAAATCGCGATTGTTGTAGAGTTGTGTAGATTTGGTAAGAGAGCAGGGTTTCATTTCAGCTGGCTCGGTAGCCCAGTTAATATTTCTGCACCTGGAACACCACATCCAGTATTCCTCTCGATATGGCTCTGGATACCAGTCGCATGCCTCTTTCAATCTCACAGCGAACCCAGAACATATTTAGTGGGGGGCCGTATCATGGGGCTGTACCGTACAAAATACTGGGCAAAACTCAGTCACCTGTGCAGCTGAGCTGTGTTCTTTGCGCATGGTTTGATATCAGTAGATTGATGGAGTGTGTTGGCTCTTTCCAAGGTAGTTCTACATTATAAAAAGATGTCTTCAATAACAAAAATGAAATATATACTTTACCTTCCACTGCTGGATGAATGCCTCCCAATGCCATGTCAATTGTGGGGGGTTGTTCAGTGTGTGCTGCTAATGAGAGGACCAAGACAGGTTTAGACCTCACTTGTCACTGATGCTAGTTGTGGCTGGGACTCAAACTTGGGTTTCTGGCTTCATAGCACTGTGCTGCTATTTTTAAGAGGGTCTGAAATGGATGAAATGCATGCATGGTTAGTCTGATGCCAATCTCCAATGGGTTATTCATGCCATCCCCTAGTAAGGGGTTGGTGACCAAAGATCTCCGTGTTATCTTCTCCTTCACCCTGGCGAAGCCATCTTCTCTCTTGATACCATGCACTGACTGATGTTATCAATATATTTATGTTTTTGTCACCTCCTGCTCCGATTTACATCTATCTTGCGGTGAGAAGGTCTTCCTGCACATTTGTATGCCGAACAACGTGTCCAACACGTGAACAGCTGCATTGGACGTGCAGTCGCATTTACACACAATATAAATCCAGATTGTGTTTTATCATTGTATTATATTTTTGCATTGTATGAACATTATCTTCCTCTGGTTTTGTAACTGGCACCCACTATTAATTATTATTCGCACAAAAAAGACAAAGTCTAAATAAAAAGGTGGAAACCCAAGAGGACTAATATGAAAACCACACTGCTAGAACCGGCAATTTGCCTATCTCTAATTGCAATCAGGTTTAACCATTGCTCTCTCCCTCAAAACATTTCCATTTATTTGTATTTTCCTTCACATCGAATTATCACGCATGTTTCTGGCACAAGCGGCACTGTGAGCATCTTGTCGTCGTCAACCATGCGATACTCTTTGGTTCTATTCGGTAAAGTCACGTATAGAACCAAAGAGCATGGATCCTTGCAGTCACAAAAGCTTCAAATCTAGAAACCATGCGATAGCGGAAACTTTCGCAAGAGTGGACCTCTTTGCAGAGGCTGCTGCAATAGCAGCAGCAGCAGCAGCAGCAAAGTTTTGTTTATAAATACTGGTTCTCTCCCTCTCTCTCCCCTGGCCTGGGTCAGGATGCCACTTATTGGGTCCACGTGCGTCACCTGGAGCACGGGGACGGGGGAATCCTGGACTGGGACGACACCGTCAGCGCCGTGGCGGATGATCGTGACAAGGTGAGCGCCCCCTGAACGCACACGTGCCCTGCGCTCGCGCAAATCTGGCAATTGCGCCCAATCACAAATGCGTGTGTTGTTGTTGTTGTAAAAATCACAACTTACAAGTAGCTGCTCTTGAGGTTATAACAGATGGATACCGAGCGAAGGTTAACAACCGGCCTAGCGGTACGATGCGTGTGCAGGCGGCGCTTCTGTACCCCGGGGGCCATGAGCCAGAGTGGGCACAGGCGCAGGGCTACGAAGGGGTGGACATTGGACAGTGGGCCCCATTCCACTGCTTACAGCAGGGCCACTGGACATACATTTCGGATACGTAAGAGATGGAAGTACTGATCGGCACAGTATGGCAGCCGATGCGGACTGTAATTCAGGTTGGAGTAATATGTCCACCTCTCTTTTTAAGGGAGAAATGCTCACAAAAATAAACCCCACGGCGTCTGACGTCTTCGGTAAAGCTGGGCGACATTGGCCGAGGTTCTTTTCAACGAAGTCGATGTTGCCTTGTGTGACCTCGACGTTCAAACAATCTCGCACACCCACTCAACCGACGCCAGGGCCCCTCCGACTCAGAGCAGAGGCCAGCAGCGCCGTCTCGCACAACGGCTGGCTGAGCGTTTCGACGCTGCACAAAGACAAAGGTGTCCGATATTGGTCTTAACAGACTGTTGGCGCAAGTGCTGTGTTAGCGAGCACCTGTCAAGGCCTGCACGGTACGCGAGGGGGTGGGTGAGAGGGTGGGTGGCCAGTACCGCGTCTTTGTCTCCATAGTGATGATGTTTACACATCGCCATGTGGAAACATTGATGTGTAAATACCAGGTACTCATTTGAGGCTGAGTCGACCTTGGGAAGGCCCATGACTAGTTCAGATAATCGTTATTGGTGTTGGTCGTGAGTGGGAATTGACCTCGGGCCACTGGGTTTGTAGCGCAGTGCGCTAACCGCTGCACGATTGCTACGCTACCGCTACAACTACCGCTACACTCCACACACAGTCATCGTGGAGGACCAGAGAGTGGCTGGTAGTGCTTTTGAAAAAAGGATATTTTTGGAACATGGGGTGGGTGAGGGGTACTTTTTAAAAATATACATTTTACTTTCACTCGTTTGTTACATGCCTAGTGATGAGATTACTGGAGGAAGTTCAGTTGAAGAAAAAAATATAAAAAGGCAACCTTTTTAAGTTCAGCAGGGAGGCTAAATGCCGTGCGGGTCACACGCTATCAAGCTGTGGGCACAGTTTGACGCTTGATATGACACGGCAGGTGCTCGCGCGTATGTATCTCTATATATGTACACGCATCTGACTACAACATATGCAACACATGTGCTTCTGCGCTTGGCTGTACATGCACGGATACTATCCAATCGGTACAACTTCTCAAATGGGCTTGTCTGGATGATAACTCTCCAACAACGGAAGACGACTTCCTATTACAATATCGTACTTTTTGTGCTGAAATTTAAGCACCATTTTTTTACGGCTTTGCGTCTACGTTTTTATTCAGGAGTTTGGTGACTCTTGCAGTATACCCGACGGAACGTTCCTGCCATTGCTTATCGAATTTCAGTTCAAATTAATTGGAATCCATTCTGGATTTTTTTCGTAACACCCCACTACTCTGCTTATCCTGGTGTTACCGACCGCCAGGATGGAGTCGGGCAATGAGCGAATGTGTGTGGAATCAACTCGTGCCTGATATAAATTTCGTCCTGAACGCTAATGATGCTGTGGAACTTTGATCTGTAAATAATTGTGCTTGTCAGCAAGGATTTCAAGGGGGCCGCCCCACGCTTGTATTTGGGGAGCTGCCGAGGCAGGAGACAGAGCGAAAGTGGTGGTGGAGGAGGAGTAGGGTGGGAGGGGGATGTAGAGAGGATCCTGGAAAAACCTTGTGGGGGGAGGGTGAGAGTGGCTCCTGGCAGCTGAATGGGGGAGTGTTGGTCTACTTTGGGATGGCTGAACTGGAGTTGAAAACAAACTCACGAAACCCATGTGATGTGTGTACTGTTACGCCAGGGCTGTGGTGAGAGCTGGGCAGGGAGGAAGGTATCATGCTGCTCGTAATGGTCAATACGATACCGCTCTAGTGCAGGACATGCACATTCACAGCAGCCCTTCGGTCATCAAGTCACTGCTGGATGAGGACCTCCCCTATGCCATGTGGGCCATGGGGGTTAATTTACCAAACTTTACCACACTGGTCAGTGCGGGTCGCTGAAGGCGGGGAGCATAGAAGTACAGCACAACAATTACTTTTGCTGCACCGCCCACCATGTAGTCCCGCCACAGCCTATATGTAAACCTGTTGCATGGGCTGGTTGCCCATACAAACACTATCCAAGCTCATTCTGGCTAAGTATGTGAATTCTGCAAAGATTTGGTGCATTCCAAGCACATGAGTAGAAGCAGCATACAACAACAGCAATAAAACTACTACTTTAGTAATTAATTGCAAGGTACTTAACAGAAGATATACTTTCAGTGCTGTTCCAAGATTAACAAGGATTGGTGTTCGAATAACAAAAGCAAAGACGACTCATTGTTCCAAAAATGTTTACGGCAAATTTAGTTCGAATGTGTGCCATGCATTCGGCATCACATCATGAGATTGAAAAATCTAACTGGAACTCTCACAGCGCCATGCAACCCTTCATGCTGGGTATACCACTTTCTTGTCCACTATGCTACTGAGAATAAATGTCCGTCGCATAAGCCCAATATAGATATTTAAATCTCAGAATTGGACTTCAACCAGACTAAGTGAAAATCCATATTTGACATGATGGTTTTTTGTGCAGTTGATTTTATTTCGTGAGACCATCAACTCGATGTACTCGAGTACCCAGTTTTAGCACAAATTGGAACCCAGGATCCTCGCGATACCCACACAGTGCTCGTTGATCCCTAAACCACCCGGCCATGACCAGTTTTAAGCAACCACTTGGAACCGTTGGGTAGCCAGTGTCAGCTCATGCGCCTGGGTACTCACTGGTCCGTGGTGGCGAGATGTTAGCTATCTCGCCTGGTATACAGGAGGTCATCCCGACCCTGACGCCAGTATATTTAGAGTTTTCATGTTCTCCCCGTGGTCATGTGGATTTTTATCTGCGTCCTCCGTTTTTTTTCCTAAATATTTAGAAACGTGCGTTTAGAGTATTTGGCTGCTATACATTTCGACGTGATGAGCCACTTTATTGGACCTTCATTTGTGGCCAGGTGGCCAGGTCGCTTCTGAAAAACAGCGAAATAGTGGGCCTTACCTGGTAAAATAAAACCTTGAGTTTTTAGTTTTTAATAGTCTAGATCATTACACATTTCCCACGAGGGATGGTTAAATTAGTTCATGCAGATATCTAAGCCAGAGCACACACTATGACAATGCCTCCATGTCAAAAGTCTTAAAACGGTGCTTTGGTGTTTATCTCATGTTAATGAGTAAAAATTAGCTCGAGGTAAACATCAACAAGGACGGGATAGGCTTTCTTTCTTCATAAATACGATTATGGTTAGGCATGTTGATTATGCAGGGAGTCATGTGTAGGTTATGCGACTCCTGCAGCCACTAGAGGCCGCTACGTTCACCATAATGTAAAAAGAAAATAACCGATTCTTGAATCAAATCGTGCCCCCCAATTATGACGGACCATCACATCATCATGGTGGGGGGGGGGGGGGGGTGAATTGTTATATTCCTGGTAATTCTATAATAAATGCATGTTTTCGATTGGCAGCTAATTTAACCTAAAGTTTTTGTCAACATCTAAAGTTACTGTGATCGCCAACCCAGACACCGCATGAACTATACATTTCAATGAAAAGTGTCAAAACAGCTCAAGTAACAGTGCCCATTATCTGTCTGTTTAATAACCTTTTAAAATATTAACACTCATGGCGAGTTGGAAGCTCTATATAAAAATAACAATGTCTGAGCGTAATACAGGGTCAGCTTTCTTGTCAGAATAAACACATCATTCGAGACCCAAACATCGCACCTCCTGGCTTTGGAATTCCCCAAAGACACCGCTGGACGCATCAACTGTATCAAAGGATCGACAGGCTGATGTGCACATTGCCTTCACAAGTGGAAAGTTGAATCGATTGGCGGTAGCCCGAGTCACCGCAAAATATTGGTGGGCCGGGCATAGTTTAAGGTTTTTTTTTATGTGCGCATCGCTGGTCGAGGAACCAGACGGAGATCAGGTCATTTTTGGAGCTAGCCACTTAATACTGTTGATTTTTGAAGGGATTCTGGTAGAATGCGCTTCCCCTAACCCAACTCTCTTCCCCAAATAACCCTTACCGTTGGACAGAGGCCTGCCAGACGGCCTTCACCAGCCTCAAGGACCACCTCACCCATACCTCCACTCTGGCTTTCCCTGACTTTTCCACAGATTTGATCCTGGACACCGATGCTTGCAGCAGTGGGTTGGGCACCGTGTTGTCACAGGTGCACCATGGGGTGGAGTGGGTCATCGCATACGCCAGCCGGAGCCTGAGCGGGGCAGAAATTAACTATTGTGTCACCCGTCAGAAACTGTTTGCTGTGATTTTCGCGTGCAAGCAGTTCTGATCGTATCTCTATGGCCGGAAATGTCGCGTGCGCTCTGACCATTATGCTCTGCAGTTCCACCTCACTTTCAAGGAACCGCGGGGGCAGATGGCCTAGTGATCACCTAGGAAGGGCATTAGCATGGGGGGCCCCGTCACACAGCCGGTGGGGGCCTGGCGAGAGCCGACCGACGCAGTGGAGGGAGCGGAACGGGCAGACGTCGTGCCCCACCTGCCAAGCGAGGGCGGTGGGGTGGACGTCGGGCCCCACACAACCACAAATTAAAAAAAGATTACCACATTCATCAATAACACTGTGGCCTTATAACGTCAAATATATAAATAGGCGACTTTTTGGCCCAATGACTCTTCTTCAACATGAGAATAGTGGTGGTGCGCACGAGGTGTGTCCAACGTGGGAGCCAGGGGAGAGGAGGGGTTTAAAA